GCCTCAAAAGATTACATGGCAATTCCCGCATGATCCACTTTTTGGAAGAAACATCATAGAAGCACCAGCCAGACAATGAGAAACAGGAAAAAGGAAACACCAAACCTGAGAAGAACCAGCCTGTCAGGAGACCACACCCACAAACGTGGATGGCCCAGGGGTGAAAGGCACCAGGTCCAAAAGGAGACTCATGGCAGAGCAGCACGTTGGGTCCTAGTGGCCTGGGCTGCCCCACAGTGGAACAGGGCAGCCCAGGGCGCAGGGACCAGAGCATCCCCAATAAAGACTGACTCATCTCTCCATGTCCTCTTCTCTGCCTGGCCACCAACGAGGCTTCACAGCCTTCGCAGTCGTACGAAGAGCCACCTCACCCTAGCTCAGGGCATCAGGCCAGAAGCCTGCTCCCTCTGGCATCGAAGTGGGGTTAATAGTTAGGCAATCAGGAAAGACTCGATCTCAGGAAGTGAAAACAAGATATTTAGAATTGAACGTTGATAAATCGATGTATTTAGACTTGAAGCAGAATTATTCAAAGATGATACATTTTTCTCCTTCCGAAAAGCAGCCACAGTGCCTAAAACCCACCTGGCAGAGCCCTGACCTTTAGGGATTTCCGAATGCCTTCAAAGGCCGGCTTCTAGCTGTTCATTAACTTGTGTGCGTGCACACATGTGCGTGTGTGTAAGCATATATGTGCGTGTGTGTGTGTGTGTGTGTGTGTGTGTATGCGCGCATACACACGCACGCGCATGCGTACATGTGCAGCGTAAGTGAATGAGTCTAGGTGCTGTGTGAGAGAGTGTGTGTGAGTATGATATGGGTATGTGTATACGTCCACGTAGAGTCAGAAGTGGGCACCAGATGCCTTAGAACTGGAGTTAAAGGAGGATGTGGGACAAATGGCTTATTAGGTGCTGAATTCACACTCCGGTGCACACTCTTAACTGCTGAGACACCTCCCCAGCTCCCACTGTGAGCTTTGGACACCCACATCCCTTATCTGCAGCCTGGTCTCCTCCGGCATTGCTCCAGCCCTCCCTTTGTACCCTAAATACTACATGGACAGACATTCTTTGCTTCAGGTGAGGCCTGGCTGGCCAAAGAGGGCACCGGATCACAGCTGGCTCCTGGTATCTCCCCCCCCCCATTGGAACTGCTACCGTTTTTACCCAGGATGGACACATGCCACCCACCCCCAGCCTATCAGCTGGTGTCTGGGAACCAAATACACAACATGCACTGTGAGGTCTGCAGAGAAACATCCCGACAGTGAGGCTAAAAGTCAGATTAGACTGCCTGTGGCACGGCAGGCAGAACGTGCTCGGAACATAACTCCAGCCTGTAGAGTTTGGCCAGGAGTTAAGACATGAACATATCCCTCTGAAATCCTGTCTTTCTCTCACACAGTGAACATGCAGAGATGAAGAGTAAAACAGGGTTTGCCATGGTGGACCACCGGAAGGAATCCTGCTCACAGAGGTCCCGCTGTCTGCAGGAATAGTTTCTGCCACAAGTCATTCAGTTTCCACAAATACCCTGGAAAGCATAAGATGTCCTCCACTTTGCAATGGCGAACCTGATGCTCAGAGCAGCCAATTAGCCCGGCTGACACAATCACACGACTTCACGCGTCCCCTTGCTTGACACCCAAATCCATGGCCATCCTACCACATATGCGAGACACAGGGAGAAATAGGAAAAGCAAAGGTCACAGTTGGTGGCGATCATGGAAACTAGGGTGAGTGCTTTGGGTTTAATAGGAAAAAAAAAATAGAGGGAAGGCCGCCCATCATTTGGCAGGAGGACATATTTTGTGTATTCATAATCACTTGAGATCAATTAATAATTAGAAAAATAAAGAAAATAATGCATGATGAAGTACACAGAGGCACTTGGGAAGCTGAGAATACCTCAAAAGGGGGACTGCTGGGCACCTATGTCCTCTTCCCCTTACCAGAATACAAACCAGCTGCTTTGCAGAAAATCAGAATAAATGCTCACAAGCTGCAGCAAGAAGAAGGCCTGCTTCCGAAGCCACCTTCATGTGGACCTCATATGCAGTTCCCTACAGGGAGAATGGTGGAACGTACCGTCTCTTGAGTCTCAGCAGGATGCCATAAGCATCAACTGCTTGCCACTGGGGAACGTGCCCTTCCAGGATGTTTTTCATTTGCTTACAGACTTATCGGAAGTCACTGTAATGGAGTCAACCGGCTTATCAATAATTAACTCACACACAGTTATCAATAATTAACTCATACACAGGGCCGAGCAAACAGCCTCTGATCCCTTTAGCTTCCATTAGAACACGCATCCGCCTTCACTAGAAGGCCAGGAGCCAGCAATTCCCTTCTCCATAGGCACAGCTTAGCCCCAGGGTGAGTGTCACACGGACTGGGCAGAGCTGTGAAGAGCCCTCAAGCTGTAGGGTCTGCAAGTCTCGAGTCCCGAGATGTGCGTTCTCGGAAGAACTCGAGTCATCTTCTAAATGACTACACGGGCATCAAGAACACAAGTGCTCCTCTGAAGCCTTCAACAATCGCAGCCAGCAACGATGGAGCGCAAGGCAGCAGGAAGTCATCCGGAAACTTTATTTAAAGCACTCTTACATAAGAACACACGGGGCCACCATGAGATCCCTCTGCACTTTGGAATATGTACTAGGGTACACCCATAAAGAACAACAGAAAATCAAGTACCGGACAAATGGAAAACAGATTTCTAAGAACCTATCGTATGTTTACATCGTGCAGGCTGCCTTTAGAGCCCTATGCCAGATTCTTGTTCAATGTCTATATATAGGGTGGAGGAGCTGCTGATATCTGGACATTTTCTTAAAATGAGTCATTTTAGAGGTTTGCATAATCTGTGCATTGAAGGATTCCTTTCCTCCCCATTCCCTGAGTCCCATAGCCGGGTTGCAAACTCAAGGTACTATCAAAAACCTGAGGCTGTCCTCTCTTCAGGGCACTCAAGGCCCTGCTGGATGGAGAGCAAGGAGAAACCCTCACTGTGACAGGAGAGCTCCCACATGACCTCTTTCTGCCCCAGGGCAATAAGGAGGCTTTGCCAACACACACACCCCTCCCCCAAGCCCAGAGAGCTCGCTAAATGCACTTGCGCTTTACATTTAGCAAGAAGAGCAGCATGAAGAACAGTCCTACATACTTTTGAGCAGCTCGCTCCCAAAGATGTCACCGTGGTCTTCATGTCACCAATGCCAGGCAGACAGGTGACCAGCAAAAGGATTCTCTAAGGGAGGTGGAGAGCTGGAGAATTCCTCTTTTGAAAAAAGCAGTTAAGAACGTAGAGTCCCAAAATGTCATCATTTAAGGAGGCCTAAGTAATTAAAAGGTTTATTACCAGAGTCCTGTTATTATTACACATCACTGGAAAGCAGCACGTGGCATTGTAAGAGAGGCAAAATAAACAAGAAAAACGCTACATAGTATTGTTTCAAGTCAGAAGTAAGGTGCTCCCTAGAGCTCGCTGGTGCTCTGGGTTCAGGCAGACCCACCCCACTGCAAGCTGCTCACTCCCAGCAGTCCCCAAGATCCTGCCTAAGCACAGCTGACCAAGCTTACTCCTCTCTCCAGAGGCCCCACTCCATGGAGCCGGAGTCTATCCCTCCACAATGCAGGGGATGGTAAAGAGAGGGAAAGGAGGCTGCAGATGACCTGGTGATGAGACTGAGGGATTCGATGAGTGAACTTTGCTCTTTTTTTCCCCCTGAATTGAGATCTATGCCTCCCAGATTTGGGTCCAGGTTAGTCAGAGTGATTCACGGAGAATTAGATCCCAACGGACCACAGAAAATTCCTAGTGAAGGTTTTTAGCTTTAGAAGACATAAAGACTTTAATAGTGATAGATAGATAGATAGATAGATAGATAGATAGATAGATAGATAGATAGATAGATAGTAGGAGAATGGAGAACCCCCTTGTTTCAGTTTCCTATTTAGTTTTTTTTTTAATATGAACACAAAGAAATTATATATTATTTTAGTCTTCTGTAGTATCAACAAGGCATGACTGGAGCAAAACAAGACTTGTTACATATACATATACATATACATATACATATACATATACATATACATATACATATACATATACATATACATATACATATACATATACATAGTGAGTCACAGACCACAGAACGGTAAGCACCAGAAACAGAACCCCTACCCAGCTGTCATTTTGCAAAAATTGAGCCCTGCCATGCTCTGGATGAAGTCATTTGACCACTCTGAGGCCCTTCTTGAACACTGCATTTGGTGACGAGAATGACCCTTTCATTCCACAAGGTCATGGGGATGGCCCAATAGTGTCCTACCCAGTGCCCACAACTCTGCAAACTGCTGTTAATGGGGAGAGCAAGGGTGAGCCTCAAAAGCAGCTCTGAGTTGGTACTGTGGTCAGAGACATGCAAAACGATCCATGTCTCAATAAAGATAATTAGGAATGTACCATCAGGTCCCCTAAAAGTTGAAAACAAGAGAGTCTACCTTAATGATCAACAGTGAACATTGTCATCATTCCCCAAGTATTTGACTCCTGTATATTGCATACCACAGAAATCAAGATCCCTCAGTTCAGGGCCAGCCTGGTCTACAATGCAAGTTCCAGGACAGCCAGGGATACACAGAGAAACCCTGTCCCAAACAAAAGAGCTGAATGTGCAGCTCAGTCATAGAGAGCTTACTGAGCATGTGTACACATACATACACACACACACACACACACACACACACACACACACACACATCCATTAATAACTAAGAACCACAAGGCTAGAGAAATGACTCAGTTAATAACATTGCTTTTTAGAGGACTCAGGTTCAATTTCCAGCACCCACATGGCAGCTCACAATTGTCTGTGACATCAGTTCCAGGAGATCTGACACCTTCACACAGACATACATGCAGCAGACAAAAACACCAAAGCGCATACAATAAATGAACCAATCAAATAATTTTAAAAAGTAACTGCCAACCTGTCTTTGTGTCCTGGGGATTAACCAGAACCAGTATTTTATGTTGAGGTTCGTCACGGTACAGAGTGCAAAAACAAAGAGATGAAGTTTCAAGTCTGACCTAAAGAAAAAAAAAAGCAAATGAAATTATTATTCTGGACAATTAGCATCATGTTCTCTGCAAGAACACAGTTAACAGAGAGGAACTTAGCAGGATACAGCAAAGACGGAGACAGAAGCCTTAGCCACCCTGGACAGGGCAAAGGTCTTGCTCTTGTCTTCCACGAGCAGGCCTTCCCATCCCAAGATCACCTGTCCACCAATCTATGGATCAGATATCTATTCCACTAACAAACACCCCTTAAGCTCCCTCCCTTTTTTTGTGATTCCTGCAGCCTTCTCCACCCTGGACATCCCTGGGCCTCAACCTGCGAGACTAATGGCCTCACTCCACCTCACACAAGTAATGGTGGTGTCGTTTTCATCTGCTCTAGAGCTCTGGTAGCCGCTCTGGAGAATGAGCCTGTCTCCACAGATGCTCCTGCTGCCTGTGGCCTCGGCTCCCGATCTGAAAAGTCGTTAAAATATGTACTGTGTCTGAGCCCTCCAAGCTCAGCCCTGTCCTTTCGGCCCCATAAGTGGGAAACTCAGCTCAAGGTGCTATTTTGCTAATGAGTGAGAGGAACCAGATTGTCTCATAGGGCCACGTCTGAAGGCTCTTTGGAACCACCTAACCCTCTGCTCACAGCTTTTTACACGTTACCCACCTTTTTTTTTTTTTTTAAACTGAGAATATAGGAAAATTAGAAAAGAATGTGCAGCTAAGCAAGGCAAGCAAGTTCTTGTAAAAACTTTAGAGCAGGCTACCACCGTTACAGAGACCTGTTTCCTGGCAAATCCTGAGGCTGGCAAACATCTTGGTACCTCCCTGTTTTGGAGTGACTTTAATGAAAGGCCCTCAAGGGGCTCTTCCACGGGAGTAGCTGTTACAGGAGTAGCCATTAAATACCAAGTTTACAAAACATCACAACAATCTGAAAAGTTGCTTATTGTAGACACATTGTATTCAGAGAGGAATCTAACACAGGTTTTTACAAGCAGGCAAAAATCACAGGGTCTGGAAAGATGGAGCAGGAAAATTGAAAGTTTGAAGCCAGTCTGGGTTACACAGTAAGACCCAGACTAAAAAAAAAAAATTTAAAAAGCAGAAAATAAAAATTAAAAGGAAACAACCTGAACATGTTTACAGCCCATCACTGTCCGCCTTAAAATTTTACACCAGAGAAATCGGCAAGTATTATGTTTAAATGTGACAGAACAATGTCAAGACTAGGGGAAAAAAAGTTAATGGTGGAAAGCAGAAAGTTAAGACATCTTATATCCTCCTCATCTTTCCTTTCGGTCCGAGAATCTTTGGATACAAAAGGTCCCCACTAATCCTGTGCAAGATGTGAGGAGGTTCAAGTCACTCCTGGTGAGCTCGGTTCAGTGTGTCAAATGGCAGCCCTCTGCCCAAGCCTCTGCGTCCAAACTCGCTGCTAAATAGCAGGGAAGCAAAGGATGGTTTTTGCCTGACTTCCTTCTTTTTAGAAAAGGAGGAAGCACAAAGTCCTATGTCATGCTGGCACCTCGTAGCAAAACAATGTCATGTCGACAATTGTTCTGCTTTCTGTTTTTGTTGATAACTTTGGCTTTATCCATTCACCGAGCATACCCCACGTTGGAGTTTATTTTTAGGTTATGCATAAATATGAGTGCAGCAACAGCATATGGCGGGAGCTGTGCCCTAAAGAACCTGTGGGCAGCTCTTGCTGCATCTCCCACGCTGCAGCTTGGCACCAACACCCGCCAGATCAGGTAGTGTCGGATGAAGCCCTGTGTCTTTCTGCGATGGCACCACTGGGAGGCGCCAAAAGCACATGAGGACAGCAAGCTCCCGCAGCAGTGCGACAACTTCAGGTCACCCATCGGAGGGGCGTTCTTCTAAGAGCAACTTTGCCAGGTAGCTCCCACCGCTGACATCTCTAGAAGGCCAGTTTATAACTGCACAAGCCACCTTCTTCATTAGCTCTGGGACAAGAGTCTGTTTCCTCTACCAGCTCTGCCTGCCAGATCACAACTGGTTCTGGCAGGAGTGAAATCATCCACACCTAAAACAAACGTCGTAGGTACCGGCCATGGTTCCCATGGGGAGGAACGCAGTCTCTAAATGGTCTGGACTGGGGACGGCTCATACTGTAAGCAGGAGGGCCTGCGTTTGCGTGCCCATGACACACATAAAAGATAGGGAATGCGCAGAACCGCACGCGTGTAGCCCCGGCACTGGGGAGGTAGAGATAGGCTTGCTGGTCATTCAGCCTAGAGAGAGACCTTATCTCAAAATACAAGGTGGACTGTAGTCTATACACTATTGTCTCCCGAGGTTGCCCTCTGGCTTCTACACATATGTGCACTCACTGGCATGTTCATGTACATGCCCACATGTACATACACCAACACGTAATAACACATTATTTTTAACTTTTGCCACAATCCCAACAAAGTTCCCCAGTTCTCTGCATCCCTTTCCTTGCAGTACCTATTCACAATGCGCAGAATCACATCGGTACCAAAGATTATAGGTGGCTTGGCTTCATTCCAAATCACACATCAGAACTGAATCAAGCCTTAGGGAGCAGAGACGAGCCACCCCCCTCACTTTAACATGAAGAGACAGGGGTCAGCCGGGCATTACACGTAGCATCTCATTTGTCGCCCATGCCAGCCCCACCAGGAAAGTGATGCCAGTGCCCTGAATTATGAGAACTTCAGCCAGAGAGGGGAAAACAGTTGCTTGAGTCCTCAGAACTCATCAGTGGTAGGCGTGGGACTCCCAGAGGTTGTCTGGGCCACGGCCTGCAGGAGGCACACTCACGGGCCCGCACTCCAGCATCCTCTTAGGGCTTTGCTCTTCTAAATCTGAGATACTTTTCCTATAGTCGCTTTCTAAGTTAGACTGGACAGTGTGTTCCTGTAAGGAAGTCAGTCACACCTGCTCCCCTGTGGGAAGGGAGAAAACCTCTGTTGAGCTCGGGGCTCCTTCCCTGAGCAGATCGTAGTAAACCTGTGCAGCAGACTGATAGCCGTCGGGGTCATCCTCCAGGATGTCCACAGGGTAAGCCTCTGAAGAAGAGAAAAAAGCAGGGATATAATTAGTTTTACTCTGGCAGTTAAATTTCTTTGGTTTGGTCGGGTTTTTTTTTTGCTTGTTTTGTGTTTTTTTGTTGTTGGTGTTGGCTTTGGGGGTTTGTTTGTTTATTTGTTTGTTTGTTTTGGGTTTCTTTGGGGTTTTGTTTTGTTTTTGGTTTGGTTTGGTTTGGTTTGGGTTTTTTGAGACAGTTTCTGTGTCACCCTATCTGTCTCTTAACTCACTCTGTAGACTAGGCTGACCTCACAGAGCTCCACCTGCCTCTGCCTCCTGAGTGCTGGGATTAAAGGCTTGCACCACCACCACCAAGTTTTTTGTTGTTGTTGTTTTGGTTTTGGTTTTTCGAGGCAGGGTTTCTCTGTGTAGTCCTGGCTGTCCTGGACTCGCTTTGTAGACCAGGCTGGCTTCAACTCACAGAGATTCACCTGCTTCTGTCTCCTGAGTGCTAGGATTAAAGGTGTGTGCCACCACTCCAACTATTTCAATTCTTTAAAGGAACAGTTTGCTTTAACCATCTTTGTCTGGGGTGGGGAGATGGCTCAGTTAAAGTGCTTCCCATGCAAATGTGAGGACCTGAATTCCATCCCCAGACCACATTAAAAAAAAAAAAAAAGCTTGTCACTCAGGCCATGAGGAGGCAGAGACAGGTAGATCCTTGGGGCATCTGGTCAGACAGCTTTCCCTAATCAAATAGTTCCAAGCCCGTGAGAGATCTTGTCTTCAAGAAACAAAGTGGATAGTGGGTGACACCTGAGATTGACCTCTGGCCCCCACAGGCATGTGCACACACACACCAGCACATGCGCACGAAAACACTTACCTACATGGATCTGCACACATACAAACACATAAAGGCAAAAAAATAAATAAATAAATAAAAATGTTCACCTAGTCCCTCCCAGACTATTTTTTTTAAACCCTAATCACATTCAAACAACTAAATGATTTTCCATCCTTCACTCTAGTCCACTCAGGGGCCGTGCACACAGCAGGTCCTTTGAAGGCAGAGAGTAGCTGGCTGGAACCTCAGTACCTCTGTCCCTTGTGACTTAAGGTGCTCGTTTTCCAGGTTACAGTCACTATGCAAGTCCCTAGGATTCTCCCCTTTGTCCCTGCCACTGGGCACCGGGAGTTCGGTGGCTTGTGAGCTGAAGGGCACATCTCTCTATCCCCTTACACAGAAGCTAATCAACCGTAACCGTCCTCTGTATCCCTTTCCTATCACACCTCTGCTGGAAACAGACCCGGAGCTAATCATACAGATGGGTGACATCCAGGTCTTGACAAGCAGCCCCTTCTGCAGTGAGCAAAGATGCTGCCTGCCTTTGGCTGACTTCCACGTGCCCAGAGACTCAGCACTGCGGACCTCACCCCAACTCTACTTTGGATTCGCCTCCTGGCCTTTTCGGGGGGGGGGGGGAAGCAGGCTACCCTGCCCCTTTCTTCTTCCTCCTTCCCTCCCCTTCCTGGCCTCCTCTTTATCCACCTGTCTCCTTCTGTCTCACAGAGATTCATCTGGACCTGCAGTCCAGGCTTGAGCCTCGAGGGCATCTCAGGTTCCCACTCCTCTCTGGAGAGCCATTGTTTCAGGAAGCCTCTCTGAGGCTCCAAATGCTGTTGATAGCAAAAAGTCCAGGAGGAATTTTTAGCTCTGCCAATCAGCAACCAGGGGGAGAACTTAAAGGTGTCCAGGCTGCCAAGATTAGTGGACATGGTTGTGTCCACCCAAACCCTCAGGCCCACTTTCCCGGATTAAAATGTCAATGGATAAACATACGGCCCACAGCTGAATGGAAACCCATGGATCCAACCAACCACAGACTGAAAATGCCGGGGGGCAGGGAGGAGTGTATGGGACATGTAAGGATGTCCTTATCGTGACTCCCTAAGGAATAAAGGGCAACAACTGCTTCTATGACGTTTACTTGTATTAGGAATTCTAAGTCACCTGGAGACTAGGGTATCCAGGAGTAGGCTACACACCAATGTACCATTTGGCAAGGGACCTGAGAACAGGCAGAATTAGGCTGTCTTTGAACCCATCACCCATGGGATAATGAAGGAAAACTGAACATTCTTTCACTACTCAACTTTTTTAAGATTTTAAAGTTTTTTTGTTTGTTTGTTTTTAATGTACAAGTGCTCTATCTGCATGTATGCCTGCATGCCAGAAGAAGGCATCAGATTCCAGTATAGATGGTTATTAGCCACCATGTGGTTGCTGGGAATTGAACTCACAACCTCCAGAGAAGCAGTCAGTGCTCTTATCCACTGAGCCATCTCTCCACCCCTACTAGTCATTTGAGTATAAAATATACACATACAAAAAAAAAAAAAATGTTCTCAGAAATATTTAAAATAAAGACATCAAGGGTTGGTGGTTTATTTGTTAGCAATGACCAAGTGAATATAAAAGGGACAAGTCTCTATAAAGCCAAGACTTTCTATTAGCAAAGAGGGCGCTTGCCCTCTACACACAAGAACACGTGATCAAGAAAGTCCAGGCTCCTCACCAACATGATCAGCAACGGCAATGCCTTTGGCTACCACGGGAACCTGCTGACCCTACGCCCAGGCAGGCCTGCCCTACTTCTTTCCTGGGACTGTCAAGTGCTCTGCACCAGACGGGCCCAAAAGACACTAACTGACCCAGAGGCTGGTTCAAATCTGACAGAACAAACTCAGCCTTCAATTGTCCTGTCCTCCCCTCACCCTCCCATCCATCTAACCTCCATCCATAATGAAAAGCGACGACAAACTTTCTCTGCGCTCCAGTTGCCAAGAGGCAGTTGAGTGTCCACTACCTTCTCTCACTGTATCCTGCTTGCCCCCGATACACAGAGGAGGAAGCAAGGCTTCATAAAAGCAGCGAAGCATGACCCCAGGCCTGTCTGATTCCAAGCTCTGTGGAACGCATTCAGATTGTTACTGACTTAAATCAGAGCTCCCATCATTACACTGAAGCACCCAATGGGCTCCTGTAGCCCCTACTCTTGGATTTCTGCAACTCCATCCTCAAGGCTTACCAGACACAGGCAGCACCCTTGAGGAGCCTTCCTTAAGCCACCAAAACCAAGATCAAGGACTCCAGGAGTCACCGAGGCCTGAGCTCAAATACCACCTCAGCCTACGATAGAAACTGACAAGGCCTAGCCACCTTTCTGTCCTATAGTCAAAATCCCTTCCAACTTGCCCCTCAGTTTTGCCTTAGCTCAGCCACCTCCTAAGGCATCCATGACAGCAGCTGGGGTTTGTAAAGCACAAGTCCGCTCCCCTACCAACTCCTCCACCCCCGCCCTCACCCCACAAAGTCCCATGGTCATGCCTTTCCCGTAGGAAGCGCTTAGGAAATGTGAGTGCTTGTTCCACTGAGCTTTCCATTTTAACAGCTGCCTCACGGGCTTGTCATGTGGCCTCCTATGGGTATGCGGCAAGATTTAGCGAGCGTGCCAATAAATTACGAAAAGCGAGCAGGTGAGCTGCTGGGACCCTTGGTACCCACTCATGGCACATTTATCCCACAGGAGCAAGTTTCAGGATCAACCCCCACCCCCAACCCCAGCAATACCAGCTTATGGAACAGGAAGAGACCAGATCTGAGGTTTTTTTGTCTGTTTGTTTGTTTGTTTGTTTGTTTGTTTGTTTGTTTGTTCTGCTTTTGGGCCTATGTCTTAGGAAACATGTTCATCACATCTGGACCATCAATCCCCTTGTGAGGTGTGGATTGCAGAACTGACAAAGAACATTAGCGATCAGCCCCCTGGAGAAGCTATTTATCAGGTTCTCTGGGAGAGGCACCCATCCACCCATCCAAGGCCACCAGGCCAGAGGCTTGGCTCTTGCCAAGAGTTGCCTGGCATTCTTTGTTGTTGTGTGTGGTCAGGACAAATGTCATGTACACATCATGTAAACATTCACCCTGCAGGTTAAGCATCCCCTCCCCAAAAGAACTCATGGGCAGTGTTCCCAAGACACTGGCTGTCCCCAGGAGAGACCTCCCGTCAAGGCCACAGGGGCAGATCTGCATGGGTCTTCTCAAGAACCTAATGCTTGTAGAATCAGCAAGACATGGTCCAGCCTGAATATTGTGAGAGTGTGGGGGGGAGGGTCACCTTCTCAGCTTTTCCCCTATACAGAAAATGTTCAAGCTTATGCCAAACAAGGGGAACATGAAAATGAGAGTTGCCCAAGTAGAAGTGATAGACATTCAAAACCAGAGAGAAAGGGGGGGACTCCCCTCCTCCAACCCGGAAGGAAGGTTCACTGTCTCCAAAAGAGCTCCTGAGGGTCCCAACCCAAAGGCCCTGGAGGTGGAAGACAGGCCCCTCCCCTGCAGCTTCCAGATGTTAGCCCCTAACAGGCCTTCATGGCTTGAACCAAACAGGAAATATTTTTCCAAAGCCAAAAGAATGTAATCTCTACAGCACAACACTAAATGCTTTTATTAAAAAGGCATACAGTTGAAATAACTCACTGCAGACCGTAAAGAAATTGAAATTCCTGGATAAAGCCCAATTTTATGATTTCACTCGAGTACACGCTGGTGGCCTCACCCTAAAAAACAAAAATCGTGGTACACCTGAAAGCATTCCTTTAGAGAAAAATACAGAAAAGGCTTGAGATCTCCTAGGCAAAGCTTGAGTTCCGAGGACTTCTCAGGCTCTGTGGCCCACAGCTTGGCTGCCGATCCAGAAAGGTCTAATGAGCAGCCAGTTCCTCAAAAACGCAGGCTCCTTTGAATGTAAGCAGCAATGTCAGTTAGCGTAGCCTTCAGTGGACTCAAAGAGTGTATGCCCTCGGTCATACACTCAGTATAAAGATCGGAGAAAGTCTTTTCATTCTGGCAAAGCACCATTTTTCTAAGATGGGACTATTATCCTGAGAAACATTAAGGGCAATATTTCAAATTTTACTAGTCCCAGTCTCACAAACTTGGCTTCATTAAAAGCCACTACCTGGCAGTAACGGCGGGGCA